TTGTCCATACCATTAACATACAACTTGAACTTTTAAAAATATTTTTTATCAACAACCCCAGCATCATTAAAATAAATACACATTCCCAAGGTGAATACTTTGAAAACAGTTACTGAAACGTATAAACTCTTACATGCTTGATTAAAAAGAGGTCTCAGCTGGGCGCAGTGACTCATGCCTGTAATCCCAGAGTTTTGGGAGGCCAAGCCAGGCAGATCACCTAAGATCAGGAGTTTGAGACCAGCCTGACCAACATGGTGAAACCTCATCTCTACTAAACATACAAAAAGTAGCCAGGTGTGGTGGTGGGCACTTGTAATCCCAGCTACTGGGAGGCTGAGGCAGGAGAATCCCTTGAACTTAGGAATGCCTTATATGCGTAAATATACTCTACTTTCGTTGTCCATACCATTGACATACAAACTCAATCAATTATAAATAATGGGATCTTAATTCCTTCGTCATTTTGTTTAAGTAATCTGATGCTATCAAAAATTGGTTTGAAGAAGCACCTGGTGAGAAAATTGAGGACTATTTGAGCACCAAACCATTTAGTGATAGTAGGTGACTATAACCCACTCATTGAATAAAATAAATATCCATGACTTCATACTCATATAAATACATGAATAAATAAATAAATGAAAAAGAAGGAAAATCTTTTATAGCAGAATGCTGGTAAGGAAATGTAGAAGTGATGGAATTAAAAAATCACTGTTGGACAAATATAGTAATAATTGATTCTGGTAACAATCATCATTAAATGCTAACCCTAGCACACAAAAGTTTAATGAGAAAGAAGAGGTATACATATTCTTTAAATATCCCCTCATAAGAGACAATAGTAAACTGACAGTGTAGAAACCTGAGAGACACGACTTTAAACAGTCAACGTTAACAACACTTACTGAAGAAAATGATGACATATGCATCATAATACGATGTATTGAGATGTATTTCGGCTAAAATACATAACCAGAACCTAACACTGAATAAACACTAGCAAACAAAAATTGAGAAATAATTTGAAAAATAACTAGTCTGTAGTCTTAAAAAAATATTAGGGTTATAAAAGTTGAAGATAGGCCAGGCACAGTGGCTCCTGCCTGTAATCCCAGCACTTTGGGAAGCCGAGGTGGGTGGATCACGAGGCCAAGAGATCGAGACCATCCTGGACAACATGGTGAAACTCCGTCTCTACTAAAAATACAAAAAATTAGCTGGGCGTGGTGGTGCACACCTGTAATCCCAGCTACTTGGGAGGCTGAGGCAGGAGAATTGCTTGAACCCTGGAGGCTGAGATTGCAGTGAGCCAAGAGCATGCCATTGCACTCCAGCCTCTGCAACAGAGCACCTCTGCATAAAAAAAAATAATAATAATAATTTTAAAAAAAGATTCTGCATTAAGTCTTATAAATCAAGTTTGGATAGCAAATGGAATATATACTATAGCCAATGGAATTATTTGGTTTTATATGTCTTTCAATAAAAAATATGGGTTGTTTGTATGTATAGCAGATAAAAAGTTATTACTAAAATGGCTGGGCATTCAAATTGAAAAAATAAAAGAAGAAAATCAAATATCTTCTTCACTGTTTAAGCATAAGACATTATACCCAGGAAAAATCAATAACACTTCCTTCTATCGGACTTCATCTGCTTCCATTGGCTCTCTATTCAATGTCAGCAATTGTCAAAGAGTCTTAAATCTTTTGTTTCTACAACCACACTCATTTTCTTCAGAAGAGAATCTTATGAAGATTATGCAGATTTAACTCTTCAGCAATATTAGAGTATACATTTAATTATATTAATTTTTTATTACTTATTATATATGATTATATATATAATTAATGTACAGACACATAGTAATAAATACAAATTATCCTGATTACCTTTAATATTCTAAAATATAGAGTTCTAGATTCCAAAGTTATGAATTAAATAGCAGTTTAGACGGATTGATGGTAAATCCAGTATCTACCTTAAATGCTGAAAGTCTTTTTTCCCTCTTCAGTTTTCTTTTCTATTTATTATAAATATAGCTTTAAAGACATCTGTCTTTGTGTTTCTTTGCTTTCCTCTGAATTTCTACAGTCACTAATTCTAAGAAAGACGAACTTCAAAACGTAGGAGGTTTCCTGAATCACTGTTTAAAAACTGTATGTCTGTCTATATCCATCCATCCATACATCACACTCACTCACATATAATAAAATCATCATGTGATTATGCACCAGTGAGAGAAATATGAAGTGGAGATAATTTGATTTGAAAATCTTGCACTTACATTACTCCAAGCAAACTGCCTCAATAGTTTCTGAATACTAACAACAGCATCACAAATGAAAAACTACCATTTTTGGTTGGGCATGATGGCTCACGCCCATAATCCCAGCACTTTGGGAGTCTGAGGTGGGCTGATCATGAGGTGAGGAGATTGAGACCATCCTGGCCAACATGGAAAAATGCCGTATCTACTAAAAACACAAAAATTAGCTGGGTGTGGTGTCGCATGCCTGTAATCCCAGCTACTCAGGACGCTGAGGCAGGAGAATTGCTTGAACCCCAGGAAGTCGGAGGTTGTAGTGAGCCAAGATAATGCCACTGTACTCCAGCCTGGCGTGATCTCGGCTCAGACTCTGAAAAAGATTCTGAAAAAGAAAGAAATAAAAAGAGAGAGAAAGAAAGAGAAGGGGATGGAGGGAGAGAGGAAGGAAAGAAAGAAGGCAGAAAGGGAGGAAGGGAGGAAGGGAGGAGGGGAGGAAAAAAGGAAGGAAAAGGGGAAGAGGGAGGAGAAAAGGAGGGGAGGAGGGAGGAGAAAAGAATGAAAAAAAATTAAGAAAAACTACCATTTTTGAGCAGCAACTATGTGCCAATCACAGTTCCTGGTATTTTACATACAGTGTTTCCCTGAATTTTCACAAAAAATCTGCCAAACATTCTTATTCTCATTTTAAAGACAAGGGATGAAAGAAGGTCCACACAGGTTAAATAACTTGCTCACAGTCATCAAACCTCCATCATCAGGTTTAAAGCCTGTGCTGTTTCTACAGTTCAGTGAGAGTCAAAAGGTCAGAGACACTGCATGTTAAATGCTTGCCACAGTGTCTGGCACCTAGCATATATTCTGTAACTATTAGGTACATTTTTTCCCCAATTTTTCCTTTTCAAAATGTTAAGCAGAAACAGAAATAGAGGCATTTGATTTTAGAGTACTTTAAAGAGCTACTTTTTAAAATGATGCTTTTAACCAAAATCAAGACAGGAGAGGGGAAAAAAAAAAAGTTTGGATGGGCGTGGTGGGTCACACTTGTAATCCCAGTACATCGGGAGGCCAAGGCAGGCAGATCACCTTAGGTCAGAAGTTCGAGACCAGCCTGGCCAATGTGGTAAAACCCTGTCTCTACTAAAAATACAAACAAATTAGCCGAGCATGGTGACTGGAACCTGTAAACCTATCCTAGCTGGAACCTGTAATCCTATCCTAGCTATTCAGGAGGCTGATGCAAGAGAATCACTTGATTCCGGGAGATGGAGGTTGTAGTGAGCTGAGATTGCGCCATTGCACCAGTCCAGCCCGGGGAAAGAGTGAGACTCCATCACAAAAAATAAATAAATAAACATACTATATCAGACTGATTACCAATCGGTATCAATTTTTGGCTTCTACCTGGTAAAGGGTGCACAGCATATTAGAAACAGGATTGGTGGTCATTCTTCTATTCATCTATGTAAGTGCTAATTATCTGGTTTATGCCAGGCACCAGGCTTTGAGAGGGCAACACCAATGAGATATGGTCTCTGTCCTTACAGAGATTAGGCAGAGGATCTTCCCAATTATCAGACAACTGTGCCTAATATAAAAAATTCTGTAACATCTGGAAAGTTGCTATGTATACTAAATATACTAGTATCCGTTCATGGGCAAGTGTATGAGACTCAGTTACCTAGCCTGCCAAATGAGTACAATAGTTACTTTTAATAAGCATCATAATAGACAAATTAAATAATTACATGAAATGCCTGGTATATAGCACGTTTAATAAACAATAGTCTAAAACATCATGTAATCTTTGTTGCTTTCCAATAATAATTATTTGCAAATACATTCAAAATATACCCACAAATATGCTTAACTTTCTATAAAAAATACATTCTGGAACAATATATTATTTATAAAATTATTTAAATCTCATTTACACCCATAAAACAAAATGTATCAGAAAGTCCTGAAGAAATGACAAAAGGCAGCTTATTGTTAGCTGTGACCAATTTGGAATCCTTATGAGGATATTTATTGCCTGCATTCTGGGCCAGGTATTAGCCTAAAATGTTGGTGATCCAAAATGGAAGTGGGCTGCAGCATCCACTCTCAAAGAGCTCACTATCAGGGCCAGGCACGGTGGCTCACACCTGTAATCACAGCACTTTGAAAGTCCGAGGCGGGTGGATCACGAGGTCAAGAGATCGAAACCATCCTGGTCAACATGGTGAAACCCCATCTCTACTAAAAATTCAAAAAATTAGCTGGGCATGGTGGCACATGCCTATAGTCCCAGCTACTCAGGAGGCTGAGGGAGGATAATTGCCTGAACCCAGGAAGCAGAGGTTGTGGTGAGCCGAGATCGCGCCATTGCACTCCAGCCTGGGTAACAAGAGAAAAACTCTGTCTCAAAAAAAGAAAAAACAAAAAACAGCTCACCATCTACAAAGTACAGAAAAACATCAATAAATGAGTATAAATATATACTGTGGAAGTTGCTTTAAGCAAAAATAATATCAGTGTAGTTTGGGTACCAGAAAAATGAGTCAATTCTCCATGGAAATATCAGAAAATCATTTCAGAAGAGATCTCATAGCGAAAATTAAGCCCCATTTTGTCCTTATATAAATACCCATCATCAGTAACTTCCAAACGTTCGTAAATACAACTAAAGTGAATAAGTTACAGCATATTTTATAATTCAAATGCTAACATGTGTACATTTGACGTTTACCTGCACAGTTAGTTGATACTGCTTTCTGCCTAAGAAACTTCTCCACCATTTTTGAATAATTGTTACAGTCCTGTGTAAATGCCTATGATAAAAATGTTTATTAGTATCCTTTCATTGAAACAAGGAGGCTCAGTTAAATCTTCACTTAGAACACTCTACTACAATTCAAGAATTCAAATTCAAAGCCAAGTTTATGTGCACTTTTACAGCGTAGAAAGTTATTCTGGGATAGAATCAATCATTTCTAAAAGCAGAAAAAATGGCATAGGTAACTACTCAGTATTTCTTTTGGGCTTATTATTACACAATATTTAATTTCAATTCCTCTTGAATACTTACTCTTTAAAATATTTTTGAGTGTTAAGACTATAAAACAGGTAACAGAGACATGTTGAGAAGTAAGCCAGGCACTACTTATGTAAATCATATGGACCCTTAGAAATAACTCTTGAGGGCCAGGTGCAGTGGATCGATGCCTGTAATCCCAGAACTTTGGGAGCCCAAGGCAGGCAGATCACCTGAGCCTAAAAGTTTGAGACCAGTCTGGCCAACATGGTGAAACCACACCGCCATCCCCCCTCATCGCCCCTCCAACTCTACTAAAAATACAGAAATTTGTCATGTGTGGTAGGGTGAGCCTGTAGTCCCAGCTACTCTGGAGGCTGTGGCAGGAGAATTGCTTGAACCAGGGAGGCAGAGGTTGCAGTGGGCCAAGATCGTGCCATTGTATTCCAGCCCTGGACAACAGACCAAGACTCTTTCAAGACTGTTCAAAGAAAGAAAAGAAATAAAGGGAGGGGTGGAGAAAGAGAGGAGGGGAAGGGAAGGGAAGGGAAGAAAAGAGGAGGGGAAGGGGGAGGGGAAGGGGGAGGACGGAGGGCAGGGGAGAGGGAACAGGAGGGGGGAGGGGAGGAGGATGGGAAAGGGGAGGGGACGGGAGGAGAGGGGGAGGGGAGAAAGGAAAGATTCATGAGGTTAAGAAATAGTTCTCCTCTTCATTCTTTTCTGTAATCCTCAGTCTATCCAAGCCAACATCATGTTGGTCTGCTGAACTAAAAAATACTCGGCCGGGCGCAGTGGCTCACGCCTGTAATCTCAGCACTTTGGGAGGCCAAGGCGGGTGGATCACGAAGTCAAGAGATCGAGACCATCCTGGTCAACATGGTGAAACACCGTCTCTACTAAAAATACAAAAAATTAGCCGGGCATGGTGGCCCGTGCCTGTAATCCGAGCTACTCAGGAGGCTGAGGCGGGAGAATTGCCTGAACCCAGGAGGCGGAGGTTGCAGTGAGTCGAGATCGCGCCATTGCACTCCAGCCTGGGTAACAAGAGGAAAATTCCATCTAAAAAAACAAACAAACAAACAAACAAAACTCTATTTGCCACCATGTTTCTTAGTTTACATAGTGGCCAAAAGAGAAAACTTGCCTTCTTGGCACCATGGCTCACCCCAGTTATCCCAGCACTTTCAGAGGATGAGACAGGCAAATATCTGAGTTCAGGAGTTCAAGATCAGCCTGACCAACATGGAGAAACCCCGTCTCTACTAAAAATACAAAAATTAGTCGGGCACGGTGGCATGCGCCTGTAATCCCAGCCGCTTGGGAGGCTAAGGCAGGAGAATCGCTTGAACCCGGGAGGTGGAGGCTTCGGTGAGCCAAGACTGTGCCATTGCACTCCAGTCTGGGCAATAAGTGCAAAACTCCATCTCAAAAAGAAGGAAAAAGACAAAGAAGCCTTGTCTTCACACTTTAAAGTTGCATATCTAGCTCCTACTAGACAGTATAAGGAAGTTTTATATAGGATAATTCCCAGTCTAATAAGTTATTATGAAGCAGGCCTATTTTCCTGTACCTAATCCAGGAAAATGTATTTTAAGAAACACCCGGAGGGAAAGTTTGGGCACTGAAAAAAAGGGAGAAAGAGTTAAGAAAGGTACAAATTTCAGTCTCGTGTATGGTCAGATGACATCATTCATGCATCACTTTCTTTTATCTACCAACATGATGGAAAAGATTGAAACTGTTTTCTCTTTTCCCCCTTTCTTACCAGTCAACGTATTTTTGCTATAAATACAAACCCAATCATTTCTAGATCCTATGGAATATGGGAAAAGGAGTCTGAGCAAGTGTGTTTGTAATATTGAGAATTTTGTTTTATTTTTTTGAGACAGAGTCTCACTCTGCTGATCAGGCTGGAGTGCAGTGGTGCCTTCTCAGCTCACTGCAACCTCTGCCGTCCAAGTTCAAGGGATTCTCCTGCCTCAGCCTTCCAAGTACCTGGGATGTGCACCACCATGCCCAGCTAATTTTTGTATTTTTGCTAGAGACAGGGTTTTGCCATGTTGGCCAGGCTGGTCTCAAACTCCTGACCTCAAATAATTCACCTGCCTCAGTCTCCCAAAGTGCTGGAATTACAAGAGTGAGTCACTGCACCCAGCCAATATTGAAAATTTTAAATAGAAATATAGTCAATGTAATTTAGTTTTGGTAAGAAGAGATCAGAAATACTATGTATTTCTTTTATAAAAAACACCATATAATTTATTAACTACATTATGAGTAAAATAAAAAATTATTTGAAATAAGCACTGCATAAATAAATTACATTTTCTAAGGGATATATATTTATGACATATCTGAGGTTTCCATGACAAAATCAATATACCTGATATACGCCCGAACTTGACATCCTCGAAACCAGCTCTGGATTTTAACTGCTGCATCATTCTCCTTATTTCTAAATGGATCTACTAAACAAATACTAAAACAAATGTTTAAAAAGCACTTCATTAGTAATGAATATAATTCTAAAGCAAGTCAACCTGTTAAACTTGATTTTTAATTTCTTCCAAAGTGATCATTATAAATTCAAATATCATTTTAAGTAACATTAAAATATAAATAAATAAGGCATTTCAAAAATCATGAGTTGTGTTTTGAAAATTAACATTTTTCTGAGAAGCCATGTGCTTTCAACAGCTTTACTTTTTTTTATTTTGATAATCACCAATTTTATAATAAATTAATTTGCCAGTAATTTTTATTAGGGAGTAAGAAAGCGATGTGTTATTTTGACATTGCTTTTAAAACATAATCATTTGAATTTACTGTTTAAATGCTACTACACATGTATCATGCAAGACTAAAATGCTCACATACTTCACTCATTTATTAGTTAAATGAGTTGCCTCTAAGTAAAATGAATCCATCACAGAATGCCTGTTCTATTCATAGCTGGAATTCTCAGAATGTCTGTTTAAGTTAAAGGAGGCAGGGGGAGGCCATAGGGCTTACACAGAGATAAGAAATTCAAATCAGTGATTCAGATGTGAAACATATACAATATACAAAGAATTCACACAAATTTGTAAGATTACATAAGGTATAGATTAAGTGTAGGATAAACTGTAAGAACGAACACAGAACAGAAAACCAAACACCACACGTTCTCACTCTAGAGTGGGAGTTGAACAATGAGAATACATGGATACAGGGAGGGGAACATCACACACTCAGGCCTATTGGGGGTAGGGGGTAAGAGGACGGATAGCATTAGGAGAAATACCTAATGTAGATGATGGGTTGATAGGTGCAGCAAACCAACATGGCACCTGTATGCCTATGTAATAAACATGCACATTCTGCACATGTACCCCAGAACTTAAAGTATAATAAAAAAACACATACACACAAGAGAATATATAAATAGCTACGTTACCTGATAATGAATGGAAGGCACTATGGTAAGATTACTATACAATGCAATAAAGTCTGCTGGAAATAAGTTAAGAGTGGAAGACCGCTCTAGACAGGAGTGGAAGGAAGGAAAGATTCCTTATTGTTGTATATTTGTACTGCATGTAACAAATGACAGACATTTTAGTAAGGCCCAGCGCTGTGACTCATGCCTGTAATCCCAGCACTTTTGGAGGACAAGGTGGGCGATCACCTGAGGTCAGGAATTTAAGACTAGACTGCCCAACATGGTGAAACTCCATTTCTGCTAAAAATATAAAAATTACCTAAGTGTAGTGGCAGGCGTCTGTAATCCCAGCTACTCAGGAGGCTGAGGCAGAATTCCTTGAACCCGGGAGGCAGAGGTTGCAGTGAACTGAGATCATGCCACTGCACTCCAGCCTGGGCAACAGAGCGAGACTCCATCCCAAAAGAAAAAAAAAAGAGGCTTGAATAAAGTGTATTCTGGCATCATATTATTGTACTCCATGTGGGAAGGAGAATAGCTTAAAGTCCTTTCCTCCAGAGAGCATTCCCTGACTTCCCAGACTACAATTAGGCCTTTCCATGTTACAGTCTCATAGCTCTTCATAATATTTACCACAATCATATTTAAAAATTATTTAATGATGGTCTCTTCCACTAAACTTGAAAACGTCAAAGGCAATAATCTTGTCTATTTTGTTCCATACTGTATTCCCCATGGCCTCAGGAGAGATCACTGGTGTCACTCCTAACACTCAACCTTTGTCTTACCAAAGATGCTAGCTGAGGGAGACACATGCTTGTTGGCATATTCCATCCCAGTGAGAAGTGCCACTCACAGGCTTCCCTCACTAGAGCTACTCCCAACATTGAAACCTCTCCCTACTTTAGGATGACAAATTGCTGAGGAATCCATGAGTGCCCTATCCTCTTCGTAACTTAAATCCTGGGTGATGATAGAAAAAAGACAGGCAAACATGAAAGGAGCTGTTGAGAGAAATAGAAGAAAATAAATAAATTTTACTAATTAAAACTTTATGTGTCAGGCACAGTACCCAACATTTTACATACCAGTGAATTAACTCATACGTAATCCTTTCAATACCTCTATGAAGAAGAGAATAATTATCCCTATTTGACAAAAAAAGATACCACTGTGGAGAAAATATTGTAATATCCCCAAGGTCACATCTATAGTAAGTGTCGCAGCTGACATTTAATCCTTGGTAGTCCTGCTCCAGAGGATGGGTTTTTAACCATCACTGCTTCTAAAGGAGAAGAGAAATGAAGAGAGGAGAAGAAAGGGAAAGTAAAATGGAAGAAAAGGAAAATACAAAAAAATTTATGTAATTAATTTCCAAATATAATATTGAAATTTTGTGGCAAAAGGTAGCACCAATCTCCCTAAAACAATAAAAGAAACAGAGACTAAGAATATGAAATGGGGAGGCCGAGGCAGGTGGATCATGAGGTCAAGAGATCGAGACCATCTTGGTCAACATGGTGAGACCCTGTCTCTACTAAAAATACAAAAAATTAGCTGGGCATGGTGGCACGTGCCTGTAATCCCAGCTACTCGGGAGGCTGAGGCAGGAGAATTGCCTGAACACAGGAGACGGAGGTTGCGGTGAGCTGCGATTGTGCCATTGCACTCCAGCCTGGGTCACAAGAGTGAAAATCCGCCTCAAAAAAAAATAGAATATGAAATGATACCAACATCTATAGCAACACCCCAAAATTTTTAGACTATACCAAGTGTTAGTGATAAAAAGTCATATATATTGCTGCTAGGAAACAGTTTGGCCTTTGAACATACACAGAATACTTTTATTTACATAAGTAAAACCCTCACAAAATTTTAGGGCTGTTCATTAAGGATGTATACACATGTAGTAAAATAATAATGGGAATGATAAAATGCAAATTTCAAGACAGAAATGAAGGATGGGGGAAATAAGAAGATTAATAGTTGATGCCAAGGCAAAAGGCCTTGGTTTTCAGGGTTTTGTGCATAATATTAAGGGATTCTAGACTCCATGAATATCAACATTTTGGCCATGGAAACACATATCCCCAGAGTTTGATAATCTCTGTAAAGATTTACAGTAAAAGATGCTCAATAACAACAATTTAAAAAAAAACAAGGTCCAATCATAAGATACAAGTATAGTGCAGTGTCATAGAAGTTAATGGGAAGGCGTCAAGATGGGAGACCATGACTATGTTAAACAGTGTGCGGAAGTCATGGAAAACAAGGTGGTTATTCAACCAGTTGCAGGATTAGAAAGAATCTTTCATTTTTATTTTAAAATCTTATCCTGGCCAATAACAAGATGGGATAGTGGAACAAAGAAACTGTCATTAATGGCCAACAAGGAAAAGATACAACAACACAATGTCCAGTAGAGCAGGCAACTCAAAGAAGAGAGATGTGGAAAAAATAAGAATAATTTCACTCAAAAGGCTAATGTGAAATAAAATTCATGACAATAGAATAGAGCTGTTTCTTATGGTTATTTAAACCTTTTACCATTAATATTTAATACAACTAGATTTGTTTTTCATCTTCTTAATATAGTCAATTTAAACTACTGAAAACGTTTGTTTCTCCTTTCCCACCAACAATCAACTTACTATCTTTACAAAAATGGAAGAAAAATATGAATAAGTCACATCTAATAATTATTTTGAAGTTACTGTATTAGTTACTAATGTATTAGTATGAACTCACCCATTATTTATAATTGTCATTAGAAATGCAGAAGAGAAGCAGTCAAATTATCTGTTTTGAGTAAATGGTTTTTAATTTCTCCTGGTGACACTGGTCAAGTAGAAAATAAATAATTTCTTTTTGGGGTACTAATAATGTATATACATATATTATATATATATATACACAAGCACATATATTAATAAAAACTATGCATTGCAATTAAAAGGAGGCACTAAAAATTAACTAGTGGTTAACGTACTGCTAAACTTTAACTTATGTGCTAAAATTTCATTTCTATACACGTTTTTCTGTTGCCCATTTTTTAAGTACTTAAAAATGAAATTTACAGATGCTGCGTTACCACTGGGATGCTGAATACTCATAGAATATGTCATCAACTGCTAGACATTTTATGTTTAAAATGAAAAATGTGGGTAACACTTTATTTTAATGGTATATTAATTAGTTCCAAATTACAGTGAAAATCCTACAGCAGTGAATAAAATGACATCTACATGAATTTGAAATAAATGTATTATGATCAGTATTATCACAATGAATACTAAATGAATTAATAATGATGAAAGACCAAAAGTGTTACCAGTAATGCAATAAAACATTAAGAAATAGCTGGAAGTTTCCAGTCACTTCATTGTCAACTAGAAATAAGTACTATAACCCTCAATAACACTATATTCATGTATATCATTAGTGGCCAGAAATTAACTGACAATAAGTAGAAAATGAAAAAAAGTCTGTACTTAAATATCTTTCCAGTAATATGCAAAAAATATGCATTTTACACATCAACAGACTGCTTGGTCTGACCTACGTATATTATCTATGAATAAATACTAGATTAAAAACTCAATACTCTTTCTTTTTTATTATCATATAACTTTTAACTATTTTAGACAGCAGGAATAAAATTCCATTATTAGCTGCCCTGTGCTGTCAGATATGTTGATGTGTAAAATGATTATTGTTTTGCATATAATTTCACGATTAGTTCTTAAGGATTTCATGCTCCTTAAAGGCAAAAACTACAGTACACTTAATCTATACTTTGGGTTCTGATTGTCACCCATGTGCCTAACAGACACTTGATGATAAGAAACAGGACTATGTTTTAGAACTAGAACTTATGTTTTATATTTCATTAATAGTCCTCCTCATTGTTATTATGTCACAGCTCTAGGAATAATGGGTTGCAAATGCATTATTATTAGATAATATAGTAGGAGTTACTATAGTTGGCCAAATGTTAAATACTGTGCAGAAGTCATAGAAAACAAGGTCATCATATTTTAGAACTAGAACCTATATTATTAGTGCATTTAAAAATATTTCATTTCCTAGCCAGCCATGGTGGCTCATGTCTGTAATCCCAGCACTTTTGGAGGCCGAGGTGGGTGAATAACCTGAGGTCAGGAGTTCAGGACCAGCCTGGCCAACATGGCGAAAGCCTATCTCTACAAAAACACAAAAATTAGCCAGGCCTGATGGCAGGTGCCTGTAATCCCAGCTACTTGGGAGGCTGAGGCCGGAGAATCCCTTGAACCTGGGAGGCAGAGGTTGCAGTGATCCGATATCGCGCCACTGTACTCCAGCCTGGGCAACAAAGTAAGATGCCAGCTCAAATAATAATAATAATGTCAAAGTTACTTTCTTATTTACTATTTTTATAAGACAGAAGTCACATTATGTCACTCCTCTGCTGAAAACACCCTTTGTTTTTTTTTGTTTTTGAGACGAAGTTGCTAATATTTTATTTTTTATAGAGACAAGGTCTCACTATGTTACTCAGGCTGGTCTTGAACTACTGGGCTCAAGTCATCCTCTACCTAGGCCTCCCAAAGTGTAGGATTACAGAACTTGAATCACCATATGGTTAGCTGTTTATGGTCTATTTCCCTCATAACTTTGTTCTTTGTTGTATCTTCAATATTCAGAATAGTACTTAGCATATAGTGGGTATTAGGGAGTGTTTAAATAATAAAAATTTATTTCAGGGCCAGATGTGGTGGCTCAAGCTTGTAATCCCAGCTCTTTAGGAGGCCAAGGCAGGTGGATGACTTGAGGTCGTGAGTATGAGACTAGCCTGGCTAATATGATAAAATCTTGTCTCTACTAAAAATGTAAAAAATTAACTGGGTGTGGTGGGATGAGCCTTTCATTCCAGAGGTCAGGAGTATGAGACCAGTCTGGTTAACACGGTGAAACCTCATCTCTACTAAAAATACAAAAAATTAGTTGGGTGTGATGGTACGTGCCTGTAATTCCAGATACTCAGGAGGCTGAGGCAGTAGAATTGCTTGAATGCAGGAGGCGGAGGTTGCAGTGAGCTGAGATTGCACCTGCCCTCAAGCCTGTACAACAGAGAGAGACCCCGTCTCAAAAAATAAATAAATATTTAATTCATTATTACAGTATTGAGAATGTTAATAGGATAACTTAAGTTCAATAAGAAATGTTAGGAATAAGTTCCTTTATTTTAAAATCTAAAGTAAAATATAGTTGATACATTCTAAGTCATCATAGAAGAGGAAAAATAATTTAAAAATAGGTTAGGCCGGGTGTGGTGGCTCACGCCTGTAATCCCAGCACTTTGGGACACTGAGGCAGGTGGATCATGAGGTCAAAAGATCAAGACCATTCTGGTCAACATGGCAAAACCCCATCTCTACTAAAAATACAAAAATTAGCTGGGCGTTGTGGCGCATTCCTGTAATACCAGCTACTCAGGAGGCTGAGGCAGGAGAATTGCCTGAACCCAGGAGGCGGAGGTTGTGGTGAGCCGAGATCACGCCATTGCACTCCAGCCTGGGTAACAAGAGCAAAACTCCATCTCAAAAAAAAAAAAAAAAAAAAGTAGGTTAAAATAGAGCTGTATGTAAAATGCCTACATATCAATAGCAATAATGAATGTAAAGAGGCTAAACCCTTCATGAACTTCTTTACCTCTAATTTTTAAAAGCCTCCAAATTTCCTCCTGCAAAGAAAAATATACAGAATGATGTGCTAACTCCAATAAAGGAGGATCAATATTTTGGCAAGTAGAATTTAAAGGTGAAAAAATAGAAAAAACTAACATATAGCCAATAATGCAGAGACACACCAATAAACATATAACATATGCAAAACAACGTAATGAGAGATACTACTTGTAAACCTAAAATAAAATTCCAGAGTTACCTAAAAATCTAGTTCAGGCCATGATAGCAGAGGGAATTGGACTCTATCATTATACCCCTCCAGCATCCACATAAACACAGACTTTAAGTCTGATGAGAAATATTTAGTCTTTTCTTTTTAGAGCTTAGAACTTGGAGGCTTCCTCTGTATGATAAACATGATAAAACCTAGGTCTCTACAACCCCTCCAGACATTCCTCATTTCTTTCTATTGATAATAACTCTTTCAACCACTTGCTAATCAGAATCTTTTCCTTCTTTCCTTCCTTCCTTCATTCCCTCCCTCCCTCCTTTCTTTCTCTCTTTCCCTCCCTCCTTCCCTCCTTCCCTCCTTCCTTCCTTCCTTCTTTCAAGTCTCACTGTGTCACCTGGGCAGCAGTACAATGGTGTGACCTTGGGTCACTGCAACCTCCGCCTCCCAAGTTCAAGCAATTCTCCTGCCTCAGCCTCTCGACTACATGGGACTACAGGTGTGCACCACCACCCCCGGCTAATTTTTGTCTTTTTAGTAGAGGCAGGGTTTTGCCATGTTGGCCAGGCTAGTCTGGAACTCCTGACCTCAAGTGATCCACCCACCTCAGCCTCCCAAAGTGCTGAGATTACAGGCATGGGCCACTGCACCTGGCCAGAAAAAAATTTAAAAACTACTTAATACCTAAAGGGCCCTGCCTTGTGGAACCAATATAAACCTTACACGTATTGATTGATACATTATGTCTTCCTAAAATGTATAAAAGCAAGCCACACCCGGACTGCCTTGGGCACATCAGGACTTCTTGAGGTGGTGTCATGGGTTCATCCTTAAGCTTGGCAAAATCAACTTTCTAAGTTGACTGAAGCCTGTCTCAGATATTTTGGGCTCACCCATACTATAGAAACACAGTGTAAGAGAAATACTTTAACTCATTCCTATTAGAATTTGGCAGATTAGATGAAATTTAAATAAGAATATGGGGAAAATGAACAATACAACCAATAAACATATACTGAACTCTTCTCTCCACAAAGTATAGTATACTGTAAAGTATAGTACAAATGACCAACAAGTCACAAAGAAAATCTCATGGTTCAAAAGAACAGAAATGAAGCTAAGAATTACTAGAGCAAGTTAAAGTAACAACAACAACAAATAGGCCACTGTCAAGGGACAATGGAACCAGCACTGCAAAATTGTAACTGAAGACAGTGAGAGAGATCTGACCTAACCAGCTCCACCTTGCTTCTAACCTCCAAGCTGTCTTAGTTCATTCCTGGATGAAGGCTGAACTAACTTAGCAAGAAATTTAATTTATAGTTTAAGACAAAGATAATAGGTCTTTCCCAAGGAAAAACCCCATTTCTTGCTTGGGGACTAGACAGTCTTTGTAGAAATAACAAATTAGCTAAAAGATAGAAATTATGGTTTGGGGCCAGAAGTGGTGGTTTGCATCTGTCATCCCAACACTTTGTGAGGCCAAGGCAGGTGGATCTCCTGAGGTCAGTAGTTCCAGACCAGCCTGGCCAACATGGTGAAATCTCACCTCTACTAAAAATACAAAAATTAGCTGGGCATGGTGGCATGCACCTGTAATAACAGCTACTTGGGAGGCTGAGGCAGGAGAATTGCTCAAACCTGGGAGGCGGAGGTTGCAGTAAGCGGAGGTTGCAGTAAGCCGAGATTACACCATTGCACTCCAGCCTGGGTGACAGAGCAAGAATCTGTTGTAAAGAAATAAAAAATTATGGTCTGGGAAGTCATGCACCTGGAGATTACAAGATTCTGAACCTCCCTAAATTGCTTCTGGGGGTAACATCACTATTGTAAAACCTAAGGTCAGTGCTAGAGATATTTTGCAGATGTTGCACTTGATGGATCAGCTGGCACCACCCAGACTGATAAGCTGACTCTGATCTTGTGGCCCCTACCTCAGAATTGACTCAGTGCAATAAGACAGATTCCACCCTCTATGACTTCATCTCTGACCCAACCAATCAGCACTCCTGATGCACTGGCCTTCCCCAACCCACCAAATCATCCTTAAAAACTCTGATCCCCTAATGCTCAGGAAGACTCATTTGAGTAACAATAAAACTCCGGTCTCCTGCACAATTGATTCTGTGTGAATTACTCTTTCTCTATTGCAATTCCCCTATCTTGATAAATCAGCTCCGTCTAAGCAGCGGGCAAGGTGAATCCATTGGGCAGTTACAACAACTGCCTACTATCTATTGTTCCCCTTACGCCCAGGACAAAATATTCTGTCTCTCTGATGGACAGGCTAGAATATAAATACACATCAAACATTCTTTGCAGGAGCAACTTTCCAGAGGATTCGAGTCAGTTGGGCAACCCACACATCTCCTATTTTCTGCAGTTCATAATCTCCTCCTGTATTTGCTGCTCACTTCTTGGAGTTCCAGATCCTTCCTCTTTGTTGGGCAGAGGAGCTTCCCTTTTCCACATTGGACTTCTAGGCCTTGGATGACTCAGTTACTAACCTAACCCCTTAGGAATATATTTTTTCAACAAAGGCATCTTTCAACTGCAGCGTTATTCTGATGATAGCCTTAGGAAGAAGCATTTTTGTCCCTACCTTGTTGCCCAAAACAGAAGACATTGAAAGAAACCAAGGAGAATTTAAATTGTTTCCTACAACTCTGTTCCCTACATGTCAATGGATTTGGAAGAGTACACTTAAGCCATTTAGACTTCTGGATCTTGGTGCTTGTTGCGATTTAATCACATCAGCTTAATGGGAAGAAAATTTTGTTTAGAGATAGTGAACAGCAGAGGTTTTAGAGTTAGATTAGTTGGCTCTGATAATTCATAATTGACCTCAAGCCATCCACCCGCCTTGGCCTCCTAACATGCTGGGATTACAGGCCTGAGCCACTGTGCCTGGCTGATTCTTTGCGATTGCTTGACACTTCAACAGGCTTTTCTGGAACACTGTTCTATAGCTCTAAAAATATAGATTATCTAATAAATAGGTAACTTCTACATTAACTTGCAACATTGTGAAAACCAAATGAAACATCCTATGAGGTAGTTCCTAGTGCAATCCCTCATACATAATCAGTCCTCAAGAAATACTGGTTGTTTCCCTTCCCATCCATGTTACTCTATTTTTGTTGTTGTTGTTGTTATTATTATTTTATTTTATTTGAGACAGAGTCTTGCTCTGTTGACCAGGCTGGTGTGCAGTGGTGTGATCTTGGCTCACTGCACCCTCTGCCTCCAGGGTTCAAGTGATTCTCTTGCCTCAGCCTCCAGAGTAGCTGGGACTACAGATGCACCACCATGCTTGGCTAATTTTTTTATTTTTAGTAGAGATATTTTGCCATGTTGGCCAGGATGGTCTCAAACTCCTGCCCTCAAGCGATCCATCTGCCTCAGCCTCCACAAGTGCTGGGACTACAGAGGTAAGTCACCAAACCCAGCCACTATTGTAATTATTCTTTAAATGCCTATATTCCATACAAGGATGGAAACATCATGATGGACGGGGCTTATTTCACTTATATATGTTATAAATACAGCACTTGCCACATACTCTAAATAAATAGGTAATTTCTATAATTTCTATGTTTAGCTATTGTTAGTATGTTTAAACTAGGATTAGTGATTTATTGAAAGATTCCTTAATGTGATTCTTCAACAATCATTGTGTTAATATTATTGTATGATAGACATTGGAGACAAAAATAATGGTGAGCAAAATAAAAGACACTGTCTCTATACTCGTTTAGAGGGGAGATAGATACTATGTCATAAAATAATGTAAAATTGGCCGGGCGCGGTGGCTCAAGCCTGTAATCCCAGCACTTTGGGAGGCCGAGGCAGGTAGATCACGAGGTCAAGATATCGAGACCATCCTGGTCAACATGGTGAAACCCCGTCTCTACTAAAGATACAAAAAATTAGCTGGGCATGGTGGCGCGTGCCTGTAATCCCAGCTACTCAGGAGGCTGAGGCAGGAGAATTGCCTGAACCCAGGAGGCGGAGGTTGCGGTGAGCGGAGATCGCGCCATTGCACTCCAGCCTGGGTAACAAGAGTGAAACTCTGTCTCAAAAAAAATAAAAAATGTAAAATTGAATTGTGATCAGTGCTGTAAGAGAGGTACACTGTGAAATAATAATGTGGTAGGCGAGATAAACGTTAGAATAAAAACAGCCCAGCAAGACCCTATCTAATTAACGTATTTTCCATTGGTCTGTCATATCACTATATTCTATAATAGTCTAATCCACTTCTTTGCAGTTTCTCTTAAGTTACAAAAACTCTTGGGGCAATGCTTCTTTAAAATGAACCTCTTCTAGCCGGGCGCGGTGGCTCACACCTATAATCCCAAGCACTTTGAGAGGCCGAGGCGGGTGGATCACGAAGTCAAGAGATCGAGACCATCCGGGTCAACATGGTGAAACCCCATCTCTACTAAAAATACAAAAATTAGCTGGGCACGGTGGCGCGCGCCTGTAGTCCCAGCTACTCGGAGGCTGAGGCAGGAGAATTGCTTGAACCCAGGAGGCGGAGGTTGCGGTGAGGCGAGATCGCGCCATTGCACTCCAGCCTGGGTAACAAGAGCGAAACTCCGTCTCAAAAAAAAAAAAAAAGAACCTCTTCTTAGTCAAGAAGTTTGGGTGTAGGCAGAAGAAGAAAGCGGCTAGTGGTGTTTCTTACCCATCGTCTATTAATATGTTGGTACTAATTATCTTTTCGGAATGGTTTACTTTTATTTAATTTATTTTTGAGACAGGATCTTGATTTGTCACCCAGGCTGGAGTGCAGTAGTGCAATCTCGGCTCACTGCAACCTCTGCCACCCAGGTTCAAGCAATTCGCCTGCCTTAGTCTCCCCGTAGCTGGGATTACAGGCATGTGCCACCAAGTTCCGTTAATTTTCATATTTTTAGTAGAAACGGGATTTCACCATGTTGGCCACGTAGGTCTCGAATTTCTGGCCTCGGGTGATTCGCCCGCCTCAGCCTCCCTAAGTGCTGGGATTTCAGGCATGAGCCACCACTCCAGGATACTTTCATTTTAAAAAGGCAAATGAGTCAAAGAACAATTGAGTTCAGTGACGTTTGTGAAATCCTGGAGGCTCAAATCCCTAGGTAGATGGGGAGCAGTCGGAATCAGTGGGCTAGTGAGCCAGGGTGAACCCCAGTCAGGGTATTGAACCTTGAACCCGAAGAACATAGGTTTCATCAAATCACAGAGTGGTGACATGTAAGAAAAAAAACACTTTACAATTTTATCTATGCTGAGAGTTTCTCTAAATCCTCTCACACTGAGTATCTATGGCCCCTGTCTATTTAGAATTTCGTTGTATGGTAATACAAACAAACGATTATGTTTCCAGCCCATTAGGGGGAGAACTGGGTGTTACTTAATGAATTAGGGACACCGTTAATTGGAAACTCCCGCTGAGGAATAGCTGACAGCAGGTTACGCCAGCCCTTTGCGCGATCCTTCTCTTTCTGACTTACCTGTTCCTAAAGTAGTACTCATTTCCCACAGCCAACGACCTAGCTTGCAGCCGGGCTAAAGTGGCCATGGTCTCTTGGCCTTTGCTTCACAACTGGTGCGCCTACCGGTGTCCATGGCAACTGGGCTGAACCATAGCTCACTCCCGGGGTGCGATTGTTTGTTCACTCCTCTTTTCTCTGACGCTATTTCGACTTTAAAAGTACTAAAAAGAGAATTAAGAAATTTCTTTGCAGCACAAAAAGTTTGATTGATTTGTCTCTGTCTTTACTGCGAGTATGAAGAGGGGATTATAGGAAGGGAAAGCAGTAGGCGAGGAGAACTAATGGTTGCTCCGGGCATCCGGTTTCGGCCTCCGTCGGCTTCCGGAAGCTCATCTCAAAATGCTGAACGGTGTTTTGCAAGTCGCTGGGGTTGTCGTTGTTGGAGTCTGTTCACGGCTCTGAGCCTCGAGGCCAGGCTCTTGGGTGTCGTTAATGTTCGGGGCCGCCGGGCGCCAACCGATCGGAGCTCCAGCAGCCGGGAACAGCTGGTGAGTCTGGCGGCCCTGGGGAGGGGGAGGTCAGGGAAGGGTATGATGGCCTGAGGCCGCTCCGCTGGACCTGGAATGGAAGCGGGAGGGAGCTGGGATGGATGGGCTGAAGACATCTAGGCCCTGCTCTCACTCATTCCTGAGATGCACGCAGTTTGAGGGAGCTTTTGAGAGTATGCCAAAAAATTGTGAAGGAATACAGGAAATGTTTGCTGATTGCTTAGCAATATTTTGGAAGTCATGCTTCCTGTAATCCCAGGAGCAGTTTTATCTCCTCATTGATTGTTGGCAAAACTAGGGACAGGAAGACTTTATCTTAATCTGGGCCTTATTCCCCACTCCTCTTTCAAAATTCACCAATTTATACTAAGTCTCTTGGAAGATAAGTTCAATAATGGAAAACACATCACTCTGTCACCCCCTTTTTTGGACGGGGGGGAAACTACTTCCACCCTCTTGAACATTCTAAGTTCAAATGAGATGTGTATGGGGGTGTTCCAGGAACTGATTTTACAGCCGTTAGGATTAAGTTTGGGGCTTGACTATGTCTATGGTATCATGTCACCAGTGCCACATTAGAATAATATATTGCTTTGACTTT